GTTACTACCCCACCCTCTCCCCTATCCCCTGGACTAATTTGCTTGTAACGTTAAACGTAACTGCCTTTTACGCTTTACCCCCCTCCCATATAAATGTAATGGCCTGATGAGAATTCATTAAAAGTATACGTATGCTCGCCAATTACTCTTCGGATAAGAATAGAAGTTCATATTTAATCCTCCGATCGTGCTTTATAGGATTGTATAGTTAAACGAATGGGAGGAGTTCGGCGAGCGGATATCTCTTCGTTTTGAGGTTTCTGCTAGCGATGTATACTATCGACAAACACAATTTCCCCACCGGCCGCCTTTTATTTTTGCACATTCAACCTAGGATTTTGATTTCATTGCCCGTCATTGTTTGTACATTCTACAAGAACTGGTCGATAATTATCTATAATTATGTGCCTGTTAGTTGTGTTTTGCAGTGTAATATTAGGAAGGTTTTCTGACGGATAGGTTGGAAAGTAACGACTTGCCCCTTTTCAACCGCCGTTTCAGCCTAAACATTAATGAAAATGCACCAGAATGCAACGTGCTTCCAAATCACAAGCGCTTTTGAAGAGGCGGAGGAGAGGGATTATTAAAGGCGAACCAAAAACGCATTTGAAATAAAAAGAGCTTACTCACACGAGTGTTGTTTCTTTCAGCTTTTAATTCGAGAATTTCATCCATGCGTTGCTTCAATTCCTCCTTCGCCTTGGTCAGTTCTTTGATGCACTCTGCTAAATCCTGTAGACAGGGAGAAACACTTATCAGACGGTGGAGCTTATAAAACTTGAGGATCAGCCAAAAATCCAACATTTTTTAATTGCACGACTTACGCAAAGCTATTAAAGTTGTCGGAGTGTTTATGCTTCTAAAAAATACTGGGATTACAGTTAGAAGAATAAATTGTAATGGAAACGTTGTAAGCGATCCTTGCCTTCTGCTACCGCTGTAAATCTGCTTTTCGTCATTTTGTTCTCGGGCAATCCGTTGGAAACAACCGTCAAAACGGGATATTTTGCAAATAAACATGATAGAAAATGGAATAGCCATTTGTGAACTGTACGTCCTAAGCAGCCGATGTTACTTTCACTAGGGGTGTTTCCACCTACCGTTTGAACTAAGGTGCATCGAGTCACTGTGGAGTTATTTCCAACGCCCTATAAACTGCAGCTAGTGGATTCGTCTTTTATCGGCTGGGATCGTGAATGTGTAAAACCACACTATGGTTCCTTTCGCCTAAACTTTCCCGAATTTACGATGGAAATGGGTGTTTCCATCTATATATTGAACGCCTGATCGGAAGATCACGCCGGCTGAGATTTAACGACGAGCAGGCATTATGGGCACTAAAAGGACTACTTGGAATTTACAAGCCACCATTAGTCACTAATATTCTTAGCTTGGGTGTTTAATTCCAGACTAAAATAGTAACTGATAATTTGCGAAGGGCGTTCAGATAACATGAAATGAAACTTGGGTTAATTGACACACTCTTGGACGATTCCAGCTAATTCCGGAATCGCTCGCGCTATATCTTTTATTTCCTCTGTACAATACTGTAGCTGGCTGCTTCTCTTTTACCGTTAACCTTGATAGCTGTATCCACCATCTACTAGAGAGCTCGTTCGGGTTGCTTACAGTAGCTCGCCCTTCTAATGAAATCCTAGCTGAAATCGTATAATTTGAAAATTCAACTCAGCAAACATATGTTTTCAGTAATTCATCATTGGGCCTATAAAATTAGATAGATGGGAGTTGGGAGGGGCTTATAAATCTTTTGTGGTTAAGTCACATCGTTGTCACACCGCTCGCATGGTGAGATTGGTCATTGGGGGGAAAGTAAGGTAGGCTGTGAGCGAGGTCTGTAGGTGAGGGTGCATCACTTTCATGTACATGGAGTAAGCAATTGTCATCAGGAGGTGGGCGCGAAGTGTGATCACCACCTGAAGCCGGCATCAGCAGCAGAGGAGAGAGCGCTTTTATTGGCATATTCAGACAGTACAACACTGGATTCCCTAGACGTATAGCCGCTGCCTTGGATGTTGTTAGCACCCGTTGGCGTAGGCCCTGTGGATACTGTTTACAGTCTATCCTACTCTCCCTCCCCCACTTTCAGTAATTTCAATATACCGATCTCGCCATGCGGGCTGCATGAGAACGATGAGTATTAATCATACGGCATTTATAAACCCTGTCCAAATCTCATATTTTCCTTATTTATGCAATAAGTCCGATCATTAATTACTGAAAACATTTTTACTGAAATAGATTTTCAGGTTTAACATGGAAAGATTCGCAGAACTCAAACAATCCACAAATGGATTTACGTTTAGAAAGGATTACTTAAGTGCGGTTGTTTTAGCGACTGTCATGCAGCGTACTTCCAAGATATTTCAGTCAGGACATGATGTCATAATCACACACTTTCTAACCCAAAAGAAGCCCGATCGTCAAGTATAAAACTTAGAGGAAACTTATTTGCTACCAAGCGAGTCTA